ATGTGCTCTGAGGGGAGCCGGAAGCATGCAAGTGGCACGTTCTCGTAATTCTACAATTTATGCTTCATCAAGCGTACCTTCATTTAGACTACTTATCTATTTTAGCTCAATGGCAATAGAATCGGGGCGGAAGCAAGAATATGGCAAGTGAAGATTGTGCAAAAAACATACAACAGCGGGGATTCGCCAGTGGCCACCCAGATGACTACTAATCCGCCGGTCAAGGGTTTATCGTGTGGAGAGCGGACGGAATCCAGAGTCTTCCTTTACCTGTGGTCGTATGTAGTCATCATCCGATTTCAGAATCATCTATGCTCAATAAAGACCGGTGTGGTTAAAGGTCTTGGGCTTAGATAATCCTAACATGGAACAGAATGCACGGTATGGAGAATTCAGCTGCAGTAATACGCCAATCGCTTCATCAAAGTATCATGACTACATCTCCTCATGTCCGGTAGTCGCCGTTGATAGTGACGTACTCATGACTAAAGTCACATGTCCAGAAGACAGCTTCCTCTCCTTCCTTTTCGCTCAACCTAACCTTGATCTCCAAATCTTCTGCCTCTAGTATCTTGGCTGCCCTGTTCTCGTCGACTTGCTCTGGCTCACCCTTAACAAGCAGCTTCAACTCCTCACTGCCGTCTGTGGGTACAAAGCTTACGCTTGTCTCCTCAGGTACCACTGAATCAACACCCTCTGCGTAGCCTGTCGCACACAGAATACGGCCCCAGTTTGCATCCTTTCCATACAAGGCTGTCTTGACGAGTGGCGAGCGCGCAATGGTGGAAGCTACGCGGTGCGCATCTTTGTAGGACGCAGCGTTTGTTACTTTGATGGTGACGAACTTTGTCGCACCTTCTCCATCTCTGACGACCAACTTGGCTAGGTCAATCGAAAAGTCTGTGAGAACCTTTTGGAAAGCTGCAAAGTCTGGAGAATCAGCGGAGTTGATAGGCTGGCCGCCCGCGGCACCGTTGGCTAAGATAGCTACTGTGTCGTTGGTGGATGTGTCACCATCAATGGAAATGCTGTTGAAAGATTTTCCGATTGCAGAGACGAGTGCCTGACGGAGCAAGTAGGGGGCGACGGGTGCATCTGTGCATATTATGCCTAGAAGAGTGGCCATGTTGGGATGGATCATGCCTGCGCCTTTAGTCATACCCGCGATGTGGTATTTTTGTTGAGTGCTTGGTAGCGTAAACGTCTTTGAGACGAGCTTGGGAAATGTGTCGGTCGTGCAAATTGCGCGTGCGGTGCCGAGCCAGTGTTCGTGTGTATCTCCTAGGTTGTGGTATGCAGTGGGTATCTTTGATGTGATCTTGTCAATGGGCAGACGTTGACCAATGACACCAGTACTCATAACGATGCTCCGGCTTCCTTTCAGGTCATCCTGCCCGTTCTTGTCTTGTATGAAGCACTTGTCGGTTTCTTTGCCCATGGATATAGCATCTTCGATGCCTCCACGTCCTGTCACCGCATTGGCACAGCCCGAGTTTACTACGACAGCTCTGATTCCCTCGCCCTTCCTCTTCTTCAGCATATCCCTGCTGACGGTCACAGGAGCCGCTTGAAACTTATTTGTGGTGAAGACAGCAGCTCCTGCGCACGGTATATCAGATGCGATCAGAGCAAGATCATCGAAGCGGTTGTTCGACGCCTTGACACCAACATGTGCACTTCCAGCCTTGAAGCCCAGTGGATATGTGCCCGAGGTTGGGACATACTTCTTCTTCGCAGGGGGGATCACACCGTCACCTGGCGCAGCATATGTTCGTATCTGCGAGGTGAAAATTCGCTTTGTACGGCTGAGGAGGCGAGGGTTGGGGCGTGTGAGGGACATGACTGGATGAAGCTGTCAGATGTGTTGTCTCTCGAGTCGCTGTTTGCGACAATTGCAAGGACGCAGAGACTCTCTCGTGAAGATGATGCCTGACGGAGCCTAACGCGAGGAGCAAACATACCTGGAGATGTTCTTGTACCCCTTGTATCTTTTGACTCACCCAATTGACGTCCTGCGCCCTATGAGTCTTGCGATTGAAGCTGCCCAAAAAGTTCCAGGATGCGACTTTCCGCCGTTATCGCTCCCCGCCGATCTCCACGCGAGCCAAGTCGAGTCAAGACCCTTGCGCGTCTAGAGCAACAACGCGCCCAGCGTCGAGCCCATCAAATAACAGACGAGAATCGCATATCGCGTCATCACGACACGCTCCTTTTGCGCCAGGTAGGGCGCGACAATGAAAAATATGGCTGCCGTGGGCAGACTGGCGGGGATCGACATGCGCAGGCCGCGAGCGAGTTGAGCCACCAGGGCGTAGTATTGGCCGTCCAGAGCTATGGGCACAAGGCTGTCGCCGCTGTAGAGGACCACGACTTGGAAGACGGTAAGCAACAGAGTGGACACCAGCAGTGCGTATTCGACGCCTTCACGATGGCGTTGGTCGACCTTGTTCATGTAGGCATCGAGTGTGCGTTCGACGATAGGGAGGAGCGGCGTTTTCTCCGAAGTATAGGGCATCATGATTGCTAACTATGGAATTGACGTGTATGAAGCACTTCGATTTATGAGGCCTCTGTACATGTTATATGCTATCTACGCGCTTGGGCGGTGCAAACAATGTTAGATACCAATGTTGGTTGTCTTGGAATGCGCCATATGAAACAGGCGGACCCAGTTGTTTGACATGGCATCTTGGCCTCATACTCGGCCTCGGTCTTGTTTCGTCAGCCCTGCTCCTTTGAAATTATAGATGACGAATGATGAGAACCCAGTACAACTAAGTTCTTACGAGCTGTATTAATTAGTATTGGCAGGGCATCCGGAAAGCGCTAGCTAAGGAGCCATCCTGCGAGCATTTCCTTGTGCACATTAAGCAGCGTAGAATAGCGTGAATCTACACGTGCGACAAGGTTTTGGTATGTTTGACCCTATTGAAATAGACTGGCAGCATGACATGCTGGTATAACTTGGCCAAAAAGCGGCTGTTTCGCCAACATTGCGTCACCGTGGTTGTGTCTTCCACGCGATATCTACCATTCGATATGTCCTCTGTGAAACGAGATATGTCTGCTTCGGTTCCCCCATTGTCTCAAAATAGTCTGCCCTAGCAGCCTTGCCTACCACAGGTATCACAAGTTCATCGAGTGCAGTGCAGAGGATGAAGTCGTAGATCCACCGACAGCGTCTGCCTGTTGAAGCTGTTTTCTAAAGTTCTTCTAAGTTCCCTACCAAATGCAGCAAGGCAAAGGCCATCGTAAAACGCATAGTCGAAAAAATCCTTATGGGCCGCGCAAACTCGATCCTATGCTTCAGAAGTCCACTGTCCCTGTGTTTTTGTAGAAGCTAATATTCTGTAGCCTGTGGTGGGCAACCTCGATCACATAGGATATGTAGAATACACCTCGTAATCGAACAAGTTTGCATCCAGTCGAAGGTATGCTTGCTCCCTAGCATTTCATAATCTACGTTTCATTAAGAAATCTACGATGTATTGTCTTATGCCAGGTGAAGGGCAGGGAGAGGGATCGAAGGGGACGATGTGTACCTGGGTGTGTTCGTGGACAAACATTTCCGTGTCGCCCCAAGTGCGTACACATAACGCCGAAAATATGTCATCGTCTCGGACGTGTCGACTGCCAGAGGCACTGTATTCTTCCGATATCCCGCAGATGCACACAGCATGTCAGCTCTTCATCTTCCCGTATGCAGGTGCGACGAGAAACGTGGTCGAGAAGGCATGTGCGTCGTTTCTGCGTTTCACTCATCGAAAACTGCCACGAGGAGATATCTTACCTTTGCACATCCTCCGGGTGAAAGAGCCGCAGACAAAGACTACGAGGAGCATATGGCGTTTGATAGACCATGCTCAGCCTCAGTCCTGTGGAGGGACGGATGGAAGGACAAACAAGGAGACGCTACAAGTAGCGTATCCCGTGCACCACGCTAACCCTTCCGAGAACCCCAACATCGGTGTTGAAGTTTAGGCTTTCCGATATCCTAGAGCATATGGTAATTTGATATTAATCAGCGTGTTAGTCGTGTTGATCTGATTCTATGGTGTCTGAGCAGATGAGAAGATGAGCGTGATGATGACATTTGTTCGATTGGGTTCTGGCATTTGCGTGTGCGGAAGGAAGTCGGTACTTCACGATAATCTATGCGCGCAAAAGAAAGACCTGTCATGTTAATGCGAACGCAGGCGTTACCTAGGTACCGTAAGGAGAGAACAACACTTCTGATATCGTATAGGGTAGGATGCTCTGAGTGGGTGCCCCTCCTGCGTACTCACCTGGGTGGGAAAGAACAATTCAGCACTCATTGGCTCCGGTATGCAGCAATCGCTTCTGAAGGCTGTGTTGTAAGACTGTGTTCGACATTTGCATTTCATCATTCGACCACCGGGGACCAAGCGGACTACGCAAATCGATAATAATCTAGTGGTCAGTGTGGTAGTCATCTTCGAAAGCACGGCTGGATAGTGCTTGACCGTGCTTCATTGTATTCTACAAAGGCGGCTTTGTCTGCTGGGTTTCATGTCCGCGTTCGATATGCGATGAAGGAGACACCTCATCGACATCCCTAACACACCACCAAAAGATCCTCGACATAGCATGGCCGTATCTTTTCCTGTCATTCATTACTATTCTTAAAATTTTCATTCCTTCGTTTTAGCGAAGATACATTGCCACCGAGCATGAACACTTTCCTTAATATACCTCATGTGCGGGCTCGCGCAGATACTACAGCACTAATAACTCCAACCCTCGACGCCAGCGTACCGAACGCACCACCGACTCGACCTTCAACGCAACCACCATCGTTAGCAAGGGCAGTCGCCATAGATTCAACCACATTGCCAGTCACATCAGCACGATCCGTACCACAAGCAGGAGGAATGTCTTCCGCAACAAAAATCGGTCTCGGAATGATACCCGTCATAATCGCCTCGTGCGCAATCTGCATCTTCGCCGTTTTTTGGTGCCGCAGACGAAAGGTGCGGAGAATGAGTCAAGATCTGGAATCACCACCTCCGGTCCCAGAGAAAGACTATGTCACACGCTTGCCGTCACTAGACAGTGACCGGAGAGGAAGCAAGGTGTTCGACATGGCCGCATTCAGCACTCACATCTACGACGGTCGGCACAGAGAGGCGCAAGTTCTCGGTCAAAGCAGGGAGTTCATTCGATCGATAGACCAAAATCAAGACGATGATCTAGAGACGCTGAGGACACCGCCACGCAGCATAAAGGTAGAAAAGATTCGCTCTGGTCGAGACTCGCCCATTGATGGGTCAAGTCCATTCCGACTAAAGCGAGGCGATACCCTCAGAAGAAGCTTGGGGTCTGAAATATCAGAACTCTGGCCGTCACCACCACCAACCGCGTGGGTAAGGCGGCAGGGTATCCTCGATTCATTACCGTCATCGAGATTCGGTCGGGATATGAATAGGAGATCACAATGTAGCGCAGACTACAAGCGAAGGAGCGATGCAAGCTCAGTGTTTTAAGGTCTTGGCAAGGCGTTTTGGTTAATAGGTGGTAGATGGGCGGAAATCAGGACTGCGATAGGTCTTCTCTTACGACTGGACGACGTTTGTAGTGGTTCACTATACCCAATAGGTTACAGGCGTCCAGGTTGGGGATACCTTCATTCACTCACTTTTCTCTGTAAACATGTTAACAATTGAATTATTATGTTCTGGTCAATAGACACACCCTATGCTTTGTTTTGACCATGATATTCTCAAATGCATCCATGTGTATGATCTCTCTGGCCTGTCCGATGCGGCATCTAGAGGTGTCGTGCCTGTGGATAAGTCCTTGCTCTAGTGTGAACGCATGTGAGCGTGTCTTTGCAGTCCTCCCAGGCAGTGTCTGCAGAACATCCAGGGCGTCTTCGCCTTGGGTGAAAGTATGACCATCTTCGCACGTTCTCCTCATCATGGTGCTCAGTCACTGGAAGCGCATCCTCTGCAGCCGCAGTTTACGCATTGTATTTCCTGGTTCTCTTTGAGCTGATCCCTAGGGACGCGGCAGATACAGGTCGATCGGAAGTTTGTCTCTTTGGTCTGAATGCAGCGGGTGCAGCATAGCTATCACTGAGTTAGTTTGATTTGGGCTGGCAAGCTGCGTGGTGAGAGGTGTCGTACCTTCTCGTAGCCTTGCTTCTTCCACTTGGCAATCAACATGGCGTCGGCATATCCGTTCTTGAGCAGGTAATCATATAGCTGCTTGGTGATTGCCTCCTTCTGGTAGTATAGGTCGTATATGTAGCGCGAGCGTTGGTGGGTGATCTGGAAGATGGGCCACGTCATTTCGTACTTCTTCTTGCCCTCATGCGATGCATTCTCAGCATCCTTCATCTTGTTCTGGAACTCGAGGAGTGTGTCCTCGATGTCATCGAAGCCCTCTGGCGGGGCCTTGCGCGAGGCGCGTGCGGTGCGGACTGGAGGCATGGCTGGGCAGGCTGCGGAAGGTCGACCGTCACGGGTTTGGCGCGTGTGTCAGCTAGAGTAGCTTGTGTGGCAGTGGAAACGGCCGAGTTTGCGATTTGCTGCAATGACGTTGTCGGTGAAGGTGATTTGGAGAAGGAAGCGATGGATAACTTCGCGACTTGCGCCGCGAGTAAAATCCGCGCTAACGTCAGGTCTTGGCACTCCACTCCACCCGCGAGCCGCATCGTCACTGCAACTCAAGCTGCGAGACGACTGGAAGCTCCGCAACACCGCTAAAATGGTCATCAACCCCACCTACCTCGCTCAGCGCACGCGCTCATGTCAGTCCAACACGCACACGCAACATTGGGCGAGCACGAAGGCTAACACGGGCACAGCGGTCAACTGGACTGATGCGAAGAAGAGGGTCATTCACAGCTACCGGGACTGGCTGCGGTCGGTACGTTGCTTCCCGGTCCTTGGAACTTGGCTAGGAGGAACGGGTCCCAGATACTGGACGTGTACGCGGAACAGCTGGAACGAGACGAGGGAACGCGTGAGATGCGGAGCCAGGAACCCGGACTGACTATGATTATGCAGGCTCCCGAGATCCAGACCATGTACTCGCTGAACATGCCAGTATCTACACTTCGGACGAAAATGCGGCAGGAATTTGAGCGGCATCGATACGTGAATCAACTAAAGACGGTGGATGTGCTGCTGTTCAACAGTCACCAGGAGTTCCAGGTACACCCTGACTCACTATGTTTGATACTCGGAGGGCATGTGCTAACAAACGCACAGGAGACACTCAACTTCTGGAAGCAGCTGTCCCACGTTCTCAAGTACTTTCGTGCTGAGGAAGACCCCAAGGCCCGGCTACCAAACAACTTCATCCACGGCTTCTTGGAGGTACGTTCATGTTTGATTTGAACTCCGGGGCTGCTCGATGCTAACATGCGCTTAGGGTCGCAACTGATTTGACTATTACTACCAGAGTCCAAGAACAACCAAGAACAAAATTCGGTGTATATAGCTGAAGTCAATACCATTTTCCTTTCCCTTCGCCGATGAACTATGCTACCCTTTAACGCCGGTAATGCAATGCTATCATAAGAACCGCGTCGCGGGCCTACTCCTCCATCTTGTTGACAAAGTCATCACGTGCAATGGTGAATTTCTGCTCGACGACATCACACATATTCATGAGATCCTCCAACCCTTTCTCAAGCACCGTGTATACACTGACGCCGTCTGCTTGGTTGTTAGCTGAGTGCTTAGGACGATCTCGTTTGTATGACCTACCATATGTTTGGATGCGCAAGTTCATCTTGGCTTCCGAGGGATGCGGGATAGAGTAACCGCAGAACTCGACGTCGGGGCTCGAAATGTCATCAGCTATTTGTCAATTTGCAACGACTTGTTCAACTTACTTCTTGTGAATGATGTATCGCAACGCGTTGCCTAGAGTATGATCCTCTCCATCAAACTGGAAAGACGCGGCGGTTTCCGTCGCGCCAGAAAGCTATAGCGAATTAGATACGGTGTACTTGAACACTGGTCTAGATCCAACGCACGACTCTGATCCTGTCGCGATCAACTGCTGGGTCGATCTCCTCGTTGTTCTCAGAGGTGGGATCTATGATGGGAACTTGCGTAGGTTCTTGTGTTGTGCCTGGCATTTTGTTCTTATTCCTTGCTCTTTATAGCCAGCTGGCGGTAGGCGAGAGATAACGCGCTGAGAGTTGATTCTGATCCCAAGTTTGATCCTAAAGACCGGTCGTGACTTTGCGATATCAAAATTTTGGGGCGGACTTTGGTTCGGCGAATCGTTGGTTGGCCAGACTTTTTCAGCCCTATATCGCTTGGCAACATGACGTGGGGCGTGGGGAAGCCCGTCTGAGTCCGCCTCAACTTTTTATGTCTTCACTTTGCCATTGGTAAACCCGAAGCACCCAAAAACATACATACCCCTCGGATACCACCGCCACGATGCCGCGCACCTGCTGCCTCAACCGCGATACGAACGAGACAAAGATTCAGGTCTCGATAAACCTCGATGGTGGTGACCTCTCCCCTTACGAGCACAGCGACTTCTGGGCCGCCTTCGACAAGGAGAATCTCAATGGAGAGGGTGAGAAGGTCGACAAGGACCATGCGACCCAGAAGTCGGCGTCTCAAGAAATCTCCGTCGACACGGGTATCGGCTTCCTCGACCACATGATTCACGCCATGGCCAAGCACGCGGGCTGGAGTCTGCGCATACGGTGCAAGGGCGACCTCCACATTGACGACCATCACACAAGCGAAGATACCTTCTTGGCCTTAGGTACGGCCTTCAAGAATGCGTTGCAGGGAAGCACGGGCCTTGCTCGCTTCGGACACGCGTACGCACCGCTCGACGAGGCACTGTCGCGAGCCGTCATCGACCTATCGAACAGGCCATACAGCATTATCGAATTGGGTCTCAAGAGGGAGAAGATTGGCGATTTGAGCTGTGAGATGATTCCCCATTGCCTGCAAAGCTTCGCACAAGCATCTGGCACCACCCTCCACGTCGACTGCATACGCGGCGACAACGACCACCACAGGGCCGAGAGCGCTTTCAAGGCACTTGCGGTTGCTATCAGGCATGCGACAACCGTGGTAAAGCAGTGGGAGGGCGAGGTCCGCAGTACCAAGGGCGTACTCTACTAAACACCAATACAACTAGATCACATCAATCTAACTTACAGAATTGCACAGAGCATGGTTAGATTACCCTTGAAGCTCATGTTCAATCGTTACAAAACATACCTTAATAGCCCGATGACTTGTTTTCCGTACATCAGTTCATAGCCCTGAAGTTCCAGTGTCACAGCATGACGGGTATGTAAGGCAGTAACCACACGGACCGCCCAACATGATTTCCAGCGAGCGCCTGCTGGCACCTACGTCACACAACAAGGAGGAAGTCGGAGTCTCAAGAGTAATGTAGATATAGGAACATTGCGCAAGACAGTACTCTAATCCATGCACAGTAAAGTTAGACCGAGTACGGCGCGAACATGCTAACTACATACAGGCACTTAAATCGCCGAGCCTTCGATGTCTAATGAGTAATCATTTTGCTCGATGAGGCGGCTTAGCTAGATACCTCCGGTTAACCCAGAGTCTTGGCGAAACAGAACTCCTCAAATAGTTACTGTAGATTCCACTGTAAGGCATCTAACCCACCCTCTAACTCCCAGTATGAGGCCAAAAAGAAAGAACGTGTGCCAGAATTGTAGAGCTAAAAAGCTTGCCGTAAGTCCTTGTCGTTGCTGTGCAGGTACGGGATTGATCCGCTAATGATATTTGAAGTGCGATGGCGCGCAACCAGAATGCTCTCAGTGCGTGTTCAAACAAATCCGTTGCAGCGGATACAAACAAGAATTCGTATTCGTGGGTAACACCACTGTCAACACCAACGTTGGCACAAAATCAGCACAAAAGAAGAAGACCACGTTTGTCAGGTCCACGGTGGTTCTTGATACTCATAAACTTCGCGTTAAGACTCAACAAAGCGCCTCACTTTCAGACACCACGGGACCAGTCCTCCCCGTTGAGGCGAGCATCGTTGAGAGTCAATCCTGTTATGATCTTGAAGACGACATTCAATTCATCATAGAACAATTTGCACCCGCTAATGAACATACCTTTGGAGAACCTAGTTTGTCATATAATCAAATCTGCGGGGCATGGATTAATATTCTTCCACTCATTGCCAAAAACAGAAGCAAAGATTACCCCCTAGTACCTGCAATTAGGGCGTTAGCCTCTGCGCTTCGCCGGCACTCCAATATCGATTTCGATGGACAAGGGTGCCGGCCCCGGATAGTCGAGGTGTACTGCGAGTCGCTTAGGCATATGGGCAGAGCAATAGCAGAAGCGCGAGGCGCATCGAACATCGAGCATATTACTGCGATCATGTGTTTAGCAGATACCGACGTATGTTTCCAATCCGCTGCATGATATCCGTCGTCTGGAGGCTAACGTAGTGGGAATAAAGATCATAGCCCCAGAGTTAAAGTCCGGTTGGATGACACATGTCAGAGCTGTTGGAGACATGTTAGAACGCCTAGGACCTACAGCCTTCAGCATTGGAACAATGCATACGATGTTTATTGGGTTTAGACCTCTGCTTGTAGGTTACAAACGATTCTTATAGGTGTGCTGAGCACAGGACTAATCATTTTTGGGGGGTTGTCTAGCTATTGAGCTCGATACTCCACCGACATGGAACATTTCTTGCGCGAGAAGAATGGATTACGGAGCCGTTTCAAGGACAACCTGTGTCCATAATCCAGCAGCTTCTGAACAGAGCCTGCGGTCTTCCGGCACTATTAGAGAGATTCTACAAGATCAATCACATATCGAGCCTTCCGGACCTTGTTACAGTTAACCAGCTTGAAGAGGATTTTCACGCCGTCCTCTCCAGACTTCGGGAGTGGGAACAGGCGTTCAAATCCCAAGTGTCCCACCCTTTGTTCTGGTCAAGGTCTGACCCCGAGACTTGGTCTTTACCAGGTGCGAATGCTCTCTGGTTTCCGAATATGATGGCAGCAACTAGTCTCACGCATTATTGGGCTTTCGAGATTGTTGTAAGAACACATGTCAGTGCGTTGCACCAGATTGCTTCTACAGCAAAGGGACATAATTCTCGAACCCACACGAATGTATACACGGAAGCTTCTGCGGAATACTCACTTCTAGTTCTGGCCGATATGATCTGCGACAGCACCTCATATCTCCTGCAGCCAGTATTCAAGTATCACGGACTCTGGTCTGCTTTCTTCACCCTTCCTACAGCTTTGCGCGTGTTCAGACAAGAGCAGGTTCTTAGTAGCAGCCGAGCCAGGCGCTCTCAACGGATAGCCAAACTACTAGCTAGCAGAGATGTTTACTTCCCGGAAAACTACCTAGTCCAAAAGATTCCATAGTTATATAGCTTCATGCATGTATGTGTAACAATCCCTTATCCAATGCTAGCGTGAAGCGACAATCAAGGTCTGTCCTCTGCATTGGGTATGATATACAAGACTTCAACTATCATAGATGCAGAGGTTGAAGCGATGAGGAAGCCTGTCTATACTGAACGTTCGGCGCGATCGATCTTTGTTGACGTGCAAGTATCAGAAGGTCTTTGCGCATTAGTTCAAAACGTTGTTAAAGCTTGGCGGATTCGATCGCTGGTTCCAGATTAGCGCCAAAGTTGCTGTAGGAAGTGCCTACGCTTATCACTCGATGAAGGCTGCAAGGTATTACCATGCGGACCCTCAACTACTCTGGCCTGATGGCTGGTCTTACCGAATCTACATTATGGAGGTCTGCAAACAAAGAACGCTCGTGTAATTACATTCGCTCTCATTGGTCATGCCCTTGACACGGTACCTTGAATCCTTCGATTTTGATGTCTGGAAATGGATATGGGGGCGTTTGCACGTAGGTGAACCTACACAACTCCATACCGCCTAGGTCTCCGCGGAATCCGAGTTGTGATAGCTACGTAATGGTTCTAGGGTATGGAGATTCACAGCAGTCGGACTAACCTAAGTACAAGGTCCTCCTGATGAGCGTAGGTATTCGCTCACGGGTATATAAGTCCTCTTAGAGTCGCAAAGAGGGAGATCCTATACTTCATCACACTGAGAATATCCTCCTCCTGCTATTTGTCCATAAACATTTCAAATCCATTCTAGCCTGTACAGCCTCTTCCTCGAAAAGATGACTACCCCACGCCCCATCAAAGGAGCTGAAAGTTTGCCATCGCAGTGGTCATTCACGGAAGATTTGGCTGGTTTCGATATCCCGATCCGCTTGGAGGGAGAGATTGGGGACGTCATGGTGCGCGGAACGATTCCTAAGAGTATTGATGGAACGTTCTATCGTGTCTGTCAGGATCTCGCTACTCCGGCTCCAAAAGGATTGAGTCCCATTGGCGGCAACGGATCTGTTACAGCTTTCCGAATCCATGATGGTCATGTCGACTTCAAAGTCCGTTACGTTCACAACGATCGGTACAAGATCGAGAGGAACGCGAAGAAGACTCTCTGGTCAGATATCATAAACGAACCGCTGAGTCAACAACACCCGTGTATTAGTGCTGTGCTAGGCGCTACTAGCAACACAAACATAATTCACTGGGCTGGAAGATTGCTTGCCCTTGTAGAAATACACCCGGCGTATAGTATGGATCCCGACACGCTTGAGACCACTGGAGAGGATCCTTTTGGCGACCAAATTACCACCACTAGTTTCACGGCACATCCACACGTCGACCCGCATATCGATGAGCTCGTTACGTACAGCCTTGACTTCATGAAAAAGGAAATCATTTCGTATTCTATCGATCGTCAGGGCACCGTTAAGAATGAGCACTTGTTCAAGCAGTCCCATTTCGGTACTGTTCATGATATGGCTATCACAGATAATTGGAACGTCTTCTGCCAGTGGCCGACCCTCCCCAATCCCAGCAAAGAGCCAAGTGCTTCCCCTATCATATGGGATACTGAGCGGCCTGCTATGTTCATAGTAACCCCACGACGTCCGGAGTCGCCTTTAGAGGGTTCAGGATGGGTGCCATATGAAATCCGCATCTACACTCATCCTTACAATTCCGAGATATTGCACACGGCAGGAGCCTGGGAAGAGGATGGAAAGATCTTTTTCGAAGGTGTTTGGCCCCATCATGGACACTTTCCGTTTTGGCAACAGGCGAATGGGAAACCCGTCGCGAAAACCGAGCTGTGCGATCTGGTTAGGCTCGAGATCGATCCCAGCAAGCCTACGAACTCTTCCATCCCTGATCCTGTTGTCCTCGTTGACATTCCAAACGAGTTTTGCCGAATCGACGAACGCTACCAATGCAGGAAGTATGACAAGATCTTCATGAACGTATTTCACTCCCAGGATGGAAGTCTGGACCTGTTTGAGAACAAGCATATTTACCAAGGACTCAATGCTACCGCAATGCTCACCAAGAGCACGGGGGAGCTTAAGATCTACTCTCCCGGGCCGCAATGCCGTTGTCAAGAACCCGTCCACATTCCGCGCTCTGACGATGCCCCTGAAGGCGATGGATACATCATCTTCGCTGTCGATCGTCTTGATGTCAATCTCACCAATGTTGTCATTCTCGATACTGCGGGTGATTTCCAGACTCCGGTAGCAGTTATTGAGCTGCCAATGCGTATGCGAGCTCAAATTCATGGCAATTGGGTTGACGCAAGAGAACTGAGTGGTAAACCTCTGGTAGCCCCTCCGCCACTGACCCATATGAACTGGCACCGTGTCAAGCCGAACCGTGGAATTTCCGTTAATGCATGATTGGTCGGTAGCAACGTTGAAAGGAGTTTGATATTGCCTCTCATCTCTACACCCGTATTTATCTTACAACTATACTGCAATAATAATGGTGGTCGTTCAGAATAGATCATAAATCATCTCTTTTAACTCCAATGAAGATAAGTGCTTGGCTAGCCACCATGTTCAATCTTCGCCAATAACAGTGTCGAAACCCAACGCAAAAGTCCAGACTGTCTGCAATGGTGCCAAGATCTTGGTGTTTTCCACTCATCATGCGCGGTTTTAGTGTTCGTAGTCGTGAGCGACCAGGCGTCCGAGAAGGTCAGGATTATGCATTTCTAAGCAACAAGCAAGTCCAAGCTGTTTGTTGGCCAGTATCATTTGTAAATACAGAGACCGGCTCGGATTGTGGAGGAGTCGGAGAAAACGGAGAAGAAGAAAGTAGCACCAAGAAACAAGGTTCTTGTGAGCGGTAAACTAGCATAGTATAGCAGAGTAGTCAAATCAAGACATGCTCGATCAGCGACTGCCAATCCTTGATTTATAATCGCCAATCGTCCTCCCACTTTTAGGCCATATGAACAGTATACTGACATAGCCTCACCCATGTTTGATAATCAAAGCTACAGTCCTACACTTTCACGTCTTTCCAAGTTCTCTTCCCAACTCCGATCAAGCTACGATTCCTTCAAAAAAAAAACGCATCTCATAATGTCCTTTCCCAATAACTTGTTAAGCCAATCAACATGGCGTCAAGTAGGACTCGGTCTCACGACGATGATCTTTGGCCTTGGAACCTTGGCCACTGTCTCGCCAACTACCGCCTCGAAGGGCCTCGGTGTCGTTCCTACCTCACCAGAAGGCTATGAAATCAACGAGAAGTCAATGGTTTTTCTCGGTATCCGTGACGTAGCCGCAGCTTTGACGTTGTTCTGGTTCTATAGCGAACGCAAGGCTAAAGAGATGGGTGCTTTGACGATGGCCTCGGTTCTGGTATGTGTTGCCGATGCCTGGGTTGCAGCGTGGGGCCCAAACGGATTCGGCAACAGGGTTTGGGGACTTTGCGGCGCTGGTCTTGCGATGTTTTTCATCAGAGCAGGATTGTTTCAGTCCCAATGACAGGATTTCAAAGCACGTTAGGTAAATAACCCTTACAAACAGGAAATCTTCTCATGACGTTAGTTCACTTCTTAATGGAACGACATTCTCGTTTTATCACTACACTTAAAAGTAAAGATGAGAAGACTTAGCGACATGTTGCGATTTCCCAACTTTGCTTCTAACACAGCCCCAGAGCAACGCGCAACGTATTAATATATCAATGTTCTCCCAATTCTCTAGTTACTTCGATGTTCAGTGTTTGTAGTAAGCATGAAATACATCCATATAGGTTCACTGTTACAAGTAGTCCAAAGAGGGAGAGACATGATGCGATGTGATGCATGGCGATACTGCGTGCTGCAAGCAAGACTGTGTAGAGCGGGCTGAGCAGTCGGCCCTAGGATATGTTGTCCAAGACAAGCCCATGAGGAGATTCTGGAGAAACCGACGAGGTACTTTCATTGCGTTCAAGGATATCTTTAATGGCTCCATGGCGCCTGCAATGCAACAACACTTGTGTAAATCCAAGCTAATATACAGAATAATAATGCTCAAAACCTGAACCATCAATGTAAGACGAATGCGACCAGATCTAGGGGGGCAAGAAACATACCTTATCTCATAATTACCCGCTCTCGTCATGTAGCGCACCCACTTTACACTGCTGTAGTTGCTCTTCTCGAACACCTTCAAGTATCGGACAAGTAATCCGGAACTCGTGAACATCAGCAACGAGAAGCTCAAACTAAGCGGCGGCCGTGACCAAGCCTTCTGATTGGTCATGCTCGTTAAGCTGGCTTCGGCGCTAAGAACGAATTCGCTTTGCCCGGTGAATCTTGGGATCTTCCAGACAATGTTGTTATGTTCCGGCTCGTACTTGGCCTTGCCCTGTGATGTACGCTCGGTGATACGCGCAGTGTTGAGGGGTGTTGGTATCCGCACGACGACGTTTGTTGCGAAGAGTTTGGAGCCATAGTTGGCACGGATGGCGATGCTGTATTCAACCTTGGTCTTGCCAACCTCATTGACAATGGCATGCACCTTGAAAGGCAGGTTGACGTTCTCAGTCGCCCGGTAGCGCATGAGCTCGAATTCGCCGTCGGGCGGCACGAAGGATATTATCCTGTCCGCATCGAACTTGCCCAGCTTGACACATTGGTGGAACTGACAGTCTTCCAAGGTAACGCTTCCCGCCGCTGCCCTGGTAGCCTTGGCGCCTGCTTTGTTACCCGATGGCTGTTGGAGGTGATCTTCGCCCAGCGTCAGGCGGTCGTTGAGGCCGAACTTGCACTCGGGTGTGCCTGAGAGATATGCGCGCATTATGATCTGCCCGTTCACGTCGGCTCGCAGTACTGTTCCCGTGGCGGACATGAGTAGGTTGACATCCTCGATGACATCGACGAAGGCTTCGTTCTTGCGGTACTTGATGTCGGCTCGTCGCCAGGAGAGAGCGCCGGTGGCCTGCATTGTGATCTTTGACGAGTCCTCCTGTAGTTCTGTCAGCTGTTGCTCCAGCCGCGTCGGACGTGACCTACCATAGCCCTTTCCGATTTGACACCCTCGGTCGTGATGTACATTTTCAGCGTGTCTGTCTCGGTATTCTGCGGGTACCCAAAGTCGAGAATCTCGTCTAGCAGCTCATAGACCAGTACGAAGTTGTTCTTTACGGCCTCCTCGTCAAACTTGCCGAAGTATGCCTTTCCCAGTCCCACCAGACGGTACAGAAACTCAAAGACCAGTGCTGCGTTGGCATTGCTCTTCGTCACGGCGACCAGATATATGTTCTCGTGTTTGACATGGCTGAAGGTGGTCGAGCCAAGGGTGAGGATGGGCGAGCGGACTTGGGCGTTGGAGATGACCTGGATTCGGAACACATCGGCAAGGCGCGGGCGGCAGTCGTTACGGAAGGCGCGAAAGATGAGGTTCTCACCTTTCTGGTTGAAGATAAGGATTCCGGAAAGCATGGCGGCGACGTGCGAGGGGACAGCGGACGTCGGCAGGGAATTGGCTGCTTCGGCGTGTTGATGCTTGGAGCTCCACCCGCGACGCCGCGGGATTGAGCTCGGACCATATTCGCTTATGGTAATTAGGGGTCTCAGGGACCGCCTACGTCTTCGTCACCTTGTTCAGACATGGCTTGCGGCCACTTCGTTAGATACGTCTTGCAACTCTGCCTATATTTCACGCTCACCTATGTTTGACAATCGATATCAAATGACAACTGTGCACCTGAGAGGGAGTTGGTCATTAAGTCTCAAGGTTATCATAACATCTACAGCCTTGCAACAGCGGTAAAATACACATTCCAACACCCGAAAATGCTTCTTATGCGGAGCTGAGAGCTTCTAATAGTCCAGAAGCCTCTTCCACAACTTCTGTAACACTGTTTGCAGCATCTACAGGCAGTACATCCGTCTCTGATACATCAGCAACCTCCCAAATAGCAAGCTGGCTCTCTACCATATCCTCCTTCATGTAATGATCACTCCTCTCGTGCATTCGTCGCACCAGCTCTTCCTGATCAACTTGTAAACCCACAAAGACAACTCGTACTTGATCATTCATCAGAGCGCGGAACTGATCGCGGTACGACTTCTTCAGGGCTGAGCAGGATAGAAAGACCCACTCATGACCTTCATTGGTAATAACATTCAGCGCGCGCTGCCCGAGACGGGCGATCCATGGAGCACGGGCGAGGTCATCGAGGGGTGTGCCGGCAGCCATCGACGCGATAGCATCTTCAGTGTGGAGCTCGTCACCTTCAATGAAAGGTACTTTGAAGCGGGCGCTGAGATGTTGTCCAATGGTGCTTTTGCCGCTGCCACAAGGCCCGGCGACTACAACGACCTGCTTGGTTGGTTTCCTCGCAACTCCAGGAGTATGTGATTGCCAAGCAGCAGCTTGGAAATGTTTGACAAACGTCTTTACAAACAACGGATCCAGCACAGGTGCTTCATCAAGTGAAGGAGAGAAAGTCCTGGCCACGCTGGTCTCATATGTACGCGAAGGGCCGAAAGCATCCTTGTCGTATTTGGACGCAAAGAAGTCAGCCAGTTTGATGGGTGGGTTCGCCACAGCGTCCTGACTTGACTCACGAAGCCTGCGCACCCATTCCTTGGGTTCAACCTCATCGAACTGGAGGCCAGCTTCTCGGAGGGCGGGAAGTAGATCATCGGTCCAGGAAAAGCTCTTCGCGTTGGTCACATTCGCCACCACAGAGCCGGCGTCGCTGAGTGAGATCTCTGTCACGGCTTTCGCGATAACGTCAACAGGTGTCCAACTCGGCGATTCTTGGAGTCGGGGTAGCGCGCCAACAGTAAGTGCAGACTGCATCATAAGAGGTATGGCTTCAGTCGCGTTCCACACGCCATGTACGGTGTCCGCAACGATCTGACCGACGCGCAGAACACGCGCTCGAACACCAGTCTTCTTCGCCGCGGCCAAGCATAAGTGCTCCGCGACACATTTGCTCTGAGCGTATCCCATTCCTTGAGCCCAGTCAAGCTCCGCTAGCATCTCGGGTGTGTGCAAATCAGGGCATCGTGCGACAGTGCTGACAGAAGAACAGAAGTCGAAGGATGCAGGCTTGATGGATGATGTAGCAAGACATAGGTCGATTAGATGTCGTACTCCAGCAATGCAGTCCTTCTCGAACGACATCAAGCTCTTGTTAAAGTTGACGCTCCATGCGCAATGAATGACACTAGCAAGACCTGAGGCTACGCGTGCATAAGTCGTACCGTCTAAGCCGAGATGGGGTTCAGATAGATCAGAAGGTATAGCTTGGATTTTCCTGCGTGCAGAAAGCGATAGGGTATGATACAATTTCCGCTGGATGAGGGATTCTTGGACACGATGAGCTGCTGCCTTGTAGTCTGTGGCACGTACAAGGCAGTAAACTGTGTCGATGTCCGAACGTTTGACTAGCTGTACAAGGACATGAGCGCCTAGCGAGCCAGTCGCACCTGTAAGCACAGTCTGTCTTCTATCAACCAGCTCGAACTTGGTATATTGCGCGATAAGGTCTTGCATCTGTGCGGCAGCTGACACAATCTCAACCTCTTGTCCGGTCTGTAGTCTGTAGAGATGTGTGGCGAGAGATGAGATAGACGGATGCTCAAATACTACGTTTTGGCCAAGCTTATTGGAACCAATATCGACTGTCTTGAGGATGTCCATCCGTATCTGAATCGATTGTAATGAGTCCAGTCCCAGCGAGAAGAGATCTGTGGTACACTCGATGTCGCTTGCCTGCGGCAAGTGTTTGGCCAGGATCGTACGCAAGTGGTTTTCCATCTTCAGAAGAGTGAATGTCTTCAAATCGCCGCCACATGATGCAGCCACATCATATATGTTGTCAATTTCGGTAGCAAACGTTTTGTAAAATGCTTGCCTGATCACACTGCCTTTGTCCGTGCGTGGAAACTGACAGCCATATGGCAAAACTTGGATCATATCCCTGGAGATCCTTGCGTATGCTTCCGCTGTTTGGTTCGCAGCTTCAATGACGGGCCATATCTCATCAATGACCCTTGCAGTCGACATGCCTTCGATTGCTGGGACCACAAGAATGCCAAGGTATGGCCGACCTGAGCCGAAGACGACCGTCTCAGTCACGGCTCGATGCGAACGGATTGTTCCTTCCATCATGACCGGATTGAACTTCTCGCCATTCACCAGGACGATTGTATCGTCCAGGCGCGCTATGTATTTCCAGGCCTTATCAATCGTGGGGTGAGGTTCGAATAGATCCTTCGTGGCGTAACTACCGTCTGGTAGATTGGAGGCAACCTTTGCTGGCCAACCTGGCAAGACTGTGCATTCGTAGAGGTTTGGTCCGCGTGGTACCCACCGAAGATACGGAGATAGCTTCGGTGACTCACGAACATAATTCCAGACCTTGTCGTCGGCAGGTCGGAAGGATGTCATGAGCTGGCCGACTTCAGTACTGATTGTCGTAAGCCTGGGTATGTTTTAAAAAGTGAAAGAAGAAACTTACGCTCCATAATGGCCGACAAGATTAACTCCACTGTTCACCAGTAGATCGCCCAGAGTGTCTGGACAAGCACTTCCTCCGTACATGACAATCTTGAGTTGTCTCAATAGCTCGATTCCTTCATCCGATTCGGAAAGAAGCTTGAGAGCATATGGCACGCCGTAGAAGATCTCGAATGTGTGCTGCCTCAAGATCGTGGATAGATAAGACTGAGTCAGGGGTAGATCGGCGTTGTAGATATGGATGGATTTGCCACTGTATATCGCACGAAAGAAGTTGCAGATTCCATGATTGTGGTATAAGGGAAGAGTGATGAAGGCTTTCATATCCATGCTGATGGCATAGTTGGCGATTGCACTCTTCTGTGTTTGATAGATCGGCTTCGGTAGCCCAGTGGAGCCTTTCCTCGTGTTAGCTCAAGTGTCATAGACGGGTAAATACAACGTACCACTAGAGTGTATTATGTAGATATTATTCGAAGTTTCAACCGTGTGATCCAGTTGATAGTCAAGACGAGTATCCGCATGGACTTCGATAGGAAAGTTGTAGGTGCTGAATCCTGCAATCTCGCCGATGTGCAATGTCGGGATATTTGTTTGTGCGTCGGCTGCAGACTGCGCAAACCGGGAGTCTGCTAACAGATATGTAGCACCAGTTTTTGTAACAAGAGAATCAATGGCGGCTTGGGATATTCGCGTTGAGAGAAACAGCACAGTGTGTCCGAGCTTGGTAAGCGCAAGCATTGTCACGATGTAGTCCAAATTACTTGGCCCTAGCACCGCGACCGTGGTAGGCTTCTCTGCAGAGCTGGATCGTGTGGGGATGAAAGCCTGATAGTGTCTGGCTACTCGGTAGGCGAACACATCTAGCTGTTGCATTGTGTAGTCTACAAAGTCAACTCCAGAGCGCGGATACGCCACAATGGTGACATGGGGATCGCGCCGCGCACGATGTCGCACGAGCGCGTCGACAGTTTGTATTGAGGACTCTTCAGGTTGGGGAAAGTCATGGCGCAGAGGTTTGGATGCAGACAGTGGTGTCGACGGCCCTAGGGGTGCAGCGATAGCGATCTGAGCTGGCGCCATGGCTGTGGTGGCTTGTGACAATGAGTACTTCGAGGAAAGACGAAGAAGTGGCTGTGGTTTCGAGAGCAGACATGATGAGGGCTGTTGTATTAGTATTCGCCGACTCGTTTCGCGCGGCTGCTTTCCCCAGCTTCAACCTCGAACGTCGGGGCGATGTGGAGACTTGCATTGCATATCACGTCGGATCGGATTCGCTTTTGATTCGTGCGGCGAACTTCGTTGGCTTTCGGTAGCATCGATGATTCGTTGCCGATCGAGAGCCGGAGCAGAAACCGGCCTTGGTGCAAAACTACTTTCCCCGCAACTAGCTTTCTCCAGAAAATCGAAAGACTGGGGTGGCTTTGTTTCTCCGCAAGCCAGCTGCTATCAACATGGTGTGCCGCAACCAGGATCTCGTGTATAAAGCTTCTGGGGTCCAACATTGCTCAGGATTATCTCACTCCGATCTTCGCATCGACCTTGTGTTCTCATCTCGTTTTCCTGACACGTCTTCGCTATCCACTGGTCACAATGTCTCCGTCAATGGACAAGAGCGAGATTCAATACATCGATGAGAAGGCGGCATCGATCGAGTCGCCGAAACCACATCAGATCGTCAAGATCGACAACTTCCAAGTGCTAGGTTTGGCACCTGAGGATGCGGATTTCTACATCAACTACTCAGATGAGCAGAGGAAGAGAGTCATTCACAAGGTAAGCAACGACTATTATTGCATTTGCGTTGATCCCTGTTAACAACCTAAAGGTGGACGTACGCTTGGTCCCAATGCTTGCGGTCCTTTATCTCATATCTCATATCGATCGAGCGAACATCGGAGTAAGTGTTGCATATGCGCGCAGGTCGCAATGGGTAGCTGGTTCAACCTTGGGGCTTATTCTGACATCCGACAGAACGCAAAGATCGAAGGCATGGTCACTGACCTCGGTCTCGATGGGGTGCAATGGAACATCGTTCTATCGGTGTTTTTCGTGCCATATATCCTACTTGAAGTTCCCTCGAATATTCTTTTGAAGAAGTTCAAACGTCCATCCTACTACCTTGGCATACTTATCGTATGTTGGGGCATTGTTATGACTTCGATGGGCGTGGTGAAGAACTTTGCTGGGTTGCTAGCTACTCGTATCCTTCTCGGCGTGTTCGAGTAAGTCTCACGCGTCAGCAATATGTACTCTGCTGACGACAAACAGGGCTGGATTCTTCCCGGGCGCAATCTACCTTTGCTCTTACTGGTACATGCCAAAGGATCTCGCGACGAGAATCTCGTACTTCTATTGTGCATCGGCACTATCTGGTGCATTCAGTGGTCTGCTTGCCGCGGCCATCGCCAAGATGGATGGCGTCGGAGGATACGAAGGTTGGAGATGGATATTTCTTTTGGAAGGCATCGTCACTGTCGCACTCGGTGTCTCGTGCTTCTTCCTCTTGATCGACTCCCCTGCCTTGAGCGGACGATGGTTAAAGCCTGACGAGATCCGCTTCCTCGAGCTCCAACGATTCATCAAGGACGGTGGAAGGTTTGGAGAGGAAAAGCAAGAGGGTTTCAAGTGGAGCGACTTGAAGGCCGTGCTATGCAACTGGCGCCTGTACATGCAAGCATACATCCTGCTCTGCATATCGGCGTGTTCATACGGTACGTACAACTTGGAGTAGAGAAGAATACTCGCTGACTGGCATATAGGAACGAAGTTTACCTTGCCCACCATCACGAAGAGTATGGGATTCGACAACACCAATGCTCAACTCATGACGGTGCCGCCGTACGTAGCTGGCGCTTTGAGTTCTATCTTCTTTGCTAAGCTCTCTGATCGGTTTTACTGGCGTTTGCCGTTCGTCGCTATTCCCCTTTCCTTCATCTTTATCGGGTACGCTGTGGTCATTTCATTCGATGGCGATCTCGGTGGCAACATCGGTCCGGCTTTCTTTGCCATCATCTTGACCTGCATGGGTATCTACCCCATTCAACCGGCAGGAAGCAGTTGGGCAGCTAACAACCTTGCCCCTTCTTCTCGCCGTGCCATTGGCGTTGCCTTCAACATCTGTGTTGGCAACATCGGAGGTGTCATTGGCAGCTACATGTACTTGGAGAGCGAGAAGCCAAAGTACTACACTGGTTTTGGGCTGTCACTGGCGTTTGGCGCGACTGGTTTCATTGTTGCGTTCCTGTTGGAGTTGTCGTACAAATGGGGCAACACGAAGAAGGCAAGGCTCAGCGAGGATGAGATCCGGGCAAAGTATTCAGACCAAGAGCTACTGGACATGGGTGACAAATCCCCGTTGTTCCGATACACTTTGTAAGTGTAATGAGATGGGATGAGGAAGTTGGCGAAGTTGGATGGACGGATGCGATATAAAGAATTGGGTTCTGTTATTATGTTGGCAAAGGCTCTAATACGAAGCTCGACAATCTCGGGTACTCCGAGTCTCAATTAATACCGAAATGTACCCCGAAGGAACACACTATCTTTGTACGATGGTCGTGATAACTCTATACACATCGAATACCTCCTGGGGACATTTGGGTCCTAAGAAGGTGTAAGCTCCAGCATACTGTCGCCTCCCGACCATTAAGATACGTTGTTCATCCAGGCGATCTCTAACTCATCTGTCTCGGGAAAAGGGCCAAACGCGGATGCATCAAGATCAAGCCAGTCGGTCGTTTGCCAATCGTCCAGGAAAGTTTGCAGTCCTGGTGTAGTCACGTCCATTGGGCTACTACCAAAGATCGGCTGCAAGGCTTCCAGAGCAGAATCGGAACAAATGTCTCGTGTCGTTTCGCCACCTAACGCTACAGAAGCTCCAGTCTCACCCGTATTTGACGATGAATGTGCCTGCTCTTGACGTGACCTTGCTGTTTTCCGCTTTGCCTCTGTACGGAGTTCCTGCAGTATGATGCTATAGCGTCGTGAGGGCGAATTTGAGGCAGTTGCCTGGGCAAGATGCTGCATACAGCTCTCAGCTTGATCCAAAATTCTGCGGGGGTCTTCCGCCGAGGCTGTGTTGTGGGTGCTCTGTTGAATAGCCCATACATACACTACTACCAAAGCACAGAAGCATACATAGTGAGTCCACCAGAATGCGTGAAACAAACGGCCCTCCCGCGCCATACGGTCTACTGCTTCCAATACTGATCGTGCGGCTGTAAGACACTCTGCAAGACTGTCTTTCGCAAGGATATGCATCTCAGTATTACCGCGTCTAGTGATCTTCAGGAGAAACGGCCGATGCGCTAGGATGACAGCATGGCAATAAGAGAGCTTGAGTGCCGTTGCCTGTCGCCGGAAAGTTGGGATTAGGCTACTAGGATTGACAGCACCAAGGAATGGTGGTAGCGATGCTTTCCACTGGCGTAGCTCTGCGGCTAAGCGATGAGAGGCTGCAAGTCGAATCTGATCTGGCACCTGATGACGGAGCTTGGTAAGTATGACGTCTTGTAAAGTAACTTCATTTAACATACTGGTTTGATTGAATAGACTTCTCGCGATATCTTCTCGGCAATTTGTGCTAGTCGGGCATGATACACCAGCGACTCTATATGGCAGTCATCTGTGCTTGTGGTCTTTGGGCCTGTACTAGTCATATCTTCGTCGTTGACAGCGTTGGGAAAATCTTGGTCGATATCTTCATCGTGATAGTGCCTTTCAAAGCGGAGGTACGGTGTCAGTGTAGGTCTCACATGCATTTTATAAAGTCCCAACGTACCTGGGCCTGCCAAAAATAACGCCAAGGTACTTGTCTAGGGTGTAGGCTACCCAGAACGTGCGTTTTCTGCACTGTTCATCGATGTAATCCCGTCTGGTGGCAGTTGCTTGTCGTTTGCGATCGTCTCTTCGATGCAACCCCAAAGCAGAAATAATCTGCAAAGCGTGCCCAAAAGTATACCATGCCTGGTTGAAACGACATGACATGAGAAGATACAAGACCTGTATAAGCCTGCATTGTGCTGACTCAAGTTTTGGGATACCAGTCTCGGCTTGGGTCAAACGTGAAGCTTCTATAAACAGCATGTCGCTCTGCAACTGCATGTCGGGTTGGGTCACTGGTGATAGACCAATCTCTCCACTTGCCTTCTCTTCATGGAATGATGCGATCGCCAACACAGACAACACTGCCGAAGTCTTGGCGCGACCAAGACCTATATCAACATGACTTGTAAGTGAGATATCTTTTTCTCTCGAGTTGCAGTCGTACATACCATGAAAGAGGGCTCGGTGCTGTTTCGCGTTATCAGACACAGTCTCCAACCACGCTTCGACCGTAGGTCTATGTAATAGCCGATAGGTCGCAATACACACGTCGAAGTACAGATGGAGAAGCTGACGACTGCGATCTAACGAAGGCATTTGCACTTCTCCAGTCTCTAGGAAGGGCTTGTCACCCGCGCTCATCAGCAACTGACGGTCTTCTGTGGACCCCAGCCCATTTACTAGGCTAGTTTCCTTATTGGAGATACGCCGCCACGCGCGATTCAAGAATGAAAGACCAGATGTTGAGTCGGAGTACTGGCCAGCTACCTCGAGCCCAGGAGAAGCCCGCGAGGGAGGTTCCGTCTCCTCGCCAACGGCATTCATAGTTGGTGCGACAGTGAGTATAGCATGAGGATAGGCTGGCGCCGATGCAGGCTGCTGAGTATTCACAGCTGCTGGGTGAACTGGGCGTGGGGAGACTACTTTGCCTCGCGAGTAGGCGGCTTCGTACTGGCATGTCAACCCCCGGCGGGTACAGGTCTCGCACGGCTGGTCGCCGGAGCACTTTGACTTCCTCGCCTTGCATACATCGCAGGCTCTCGTAACTTTGACCAGTCGTTGCCTCGTATTATTGCTGCCTGGTTGGACGTCAAGGCTCCGCTTCCGGGGTACCGTGCCGCTTGGTGCTGCATCATTAGACATTGTGGAGTAGGAAAGATGAGGCAAATCCGCGTTCCGTCCGAAGAATCCGCTGCCAAGCTTCGGAACGCTAACCGACCACCCGATAGGTACTCCAGATTTCACGGGTGCAACTTGAAGGCATGAATCAAGCCGTTGGGAAAATTAGACGCAACCTCGGGAGGCACTGCTGCATTTTGTGCTAGCATCGTTGTTTCCGGAGTCGTTTCCGGTCGCTCCTTCCGATACTTGCGTCTCTCCGTCGGATATGGAGAACTTGAGTTGAATGTATATATCGTCCAGATGGCTGTACCCCATTTCCAAACATTCGCCCCTCTTTCAGCATTACATTACAGAATTCTAGATCGATTCTGACCGCGCGCGGTGTTGCCTCTCATCACGTCGCGTAACACCACGACCAGCATCATGCCTATCCCCACACATTTCACCTTGAACACAGGCGCGCAGATACCGGCTGTAGGCTTCGGCACATGGCAAGCGAAGCCAGGAGAAGTTGAACGCGCTGTCGAGACGGCGCTCAAAGCAGGCTACCGCCACATTGATTGCGCTGCCATCTATCGCAATGAAGCCGAAGTAGGTGACGGCATAAGGAGGAGTGGTGTTCCTCGCTCTGAAATCTTCCTTACTGGCAAGCTTTGGAACACCAAACATGCGCCAGAAGATGTAGAAGCTGCTCTCGACAAGTCGCTTCAAGATCTAGGCGTCGAGTATCTAGATCTGTTCCTGATGCATTGGCCAGTGTATGTCACATACCCTTTCCGTTGCATACATATGATACTGATACAGATGAAGTGCATTCAATGGTGCCACAGGCAAGTGGTTCCCACTACGCGAGAGTGGTGTGTTTGACCTCGTCGACATTGATCCTGCAATTACATACAAAGCCATGGAGAAGCTACTTGACACCGGCAAGGTTCGCGCCATTGGCGTATCTAACTTCACTATTCAACGCCTCAACGACCTTCTATCAAAGACTGATGTTGTACCGGCGGTAAATCAGATCGAAGCACATCCATACCTCCAGCAGCCTGCTCTCTTCGATGTTTGCAAGAGCAAAGGTATCTTGATTGAAGCCTATTCGCCTCTTGGAAACAACCAAACAGGGGAGCCGCGGACTGTCGACGACGAACTAGTGGGCGTCTTAGGTCACAGATTAGGTATGGACGGCGGCCAGCTGCTTGCGAGCTGGGGTATTCAGCGGGGCACTGTGGTCCTGCCCAAGAGTGTCACGCCGAGCAGAATCAAGAGTAATATGCAGGTCAAGGAACTACCGAAGGATGCTTTCGATGAGCTGAGCGGTCTGGAGAGACACAAGCGGTTCAACGTACAGTCGCGATGGGGTTTCGACATTTTCGAAGAACTAGGCCAGGAGCAGGTGCGGAAAATTGCGGAAGACTGCGCTCAGGAGAATAAGACGAAATTTACAGTTTAGGGGATAACACAGCTCAAGAACCTAGAAGTCTAGAAAGCTGTCAAAACATATGAACCATTTGCTTACACATTATTTTAGGCTGCAGTAGCAGTTTTGATGTTGTTGTGTCTGTTCAGTTTCTTTCATTTGTATGGCAAGAGAGTAGTCTGGCATTGACCGTTTACAAATACAGCTACAACTACGTATCTCTAGACGTCATGGTTCGTCAATTCGTGGACCCGCGGAATTTGACACGCATGATAGTTTTGTCGACAGGCCTGGCTGTGATGGACATTGTCTATCCAAGAGTAAGTCGCTTGCACTACTTTGCGAAAGGGGATAGTAGCTTACGTTGATCAAATCAGACTTTGTCTTGTATTTGCCCTTCCGGTCCATGACAGGCTGACCCATGTCGTCTGTATCGACCTCTCCCAATCCGACCTTGACGAAGTCATATCGTCGCATGACGCATGCCAGAATCACGCGAGCCTCCATGTTAGCAAGTTCCTGGCCAATGCAATTACGCGGTCCTCGCTCAAAGGCTCTCCATGCGCTAATGGGTATCTTGCTCTCGCCAGCAGTTGATCCGTCGTCTTCGGTTGAAGCGCTGCTGGTATCGGAGTCACCAACCCAGCGCTCAGGGACGAAATCGTTTGCCGTGTCTCCGTACACTTTGGGATCTCGCTGAATAAGATGATGGCACAAGTATATGACGCATTTGTCGACGCACACGTCGTCTCCATCCGAAGTGCGCAATTTGAAGCCGTTGTGTGACATTCGTGCCGATCCTGCTGGAGGCCAAAGTCTCAAAGCTTCTTTGATGCATGCAGATGTGTACTTTAGCGCTTTCATGGTCTCATCCGGTCGCTCGAGGAACACGTCGCTCGGTTCGGAGTCGGCGAAGACGGCATCGTGTTCCGCACGAATCTTTGCCAGGCAATCTGGATGTATTGAAAGGGCATAAAACAGCCTCTGTAGGAGGATAGCAGTGGTATCGTGTCCTGCGAAAAGGAACGATTTCACTGAATCTGCGGTACTTTGCAGGATATATGGAGTCAGCTCGTCAACGCCTTCTAGTGCCAGCGCCAGGACCGATCGGTCTTTCTTTCCCTTTGCATCGGAATGCTGAGCGTCCTTGATGTCTGCGAACTTCTCCAAGATACACTTCTTGACGGCCGAGTCGAGCCGTTGGCTGTAGATGTACTTCTTGATGCGCAAAGGCAGGTTCAACCAGGAAGCCATCAAACCGTTGTCACCAGTGTATACAGCCTTGAGCGTGCGGAAGTTACGAACGATATCATGGACTTGTTCGCTATCGTCCTGGGCCCTACAGTCAATGTTCGTGACTACATCACCAATGATGTCAAAGGTAACGTCTGTGCAGTAACCCTCCATCTCGACTGCAACGCCAGAGGTCGCCAATGCGTCGAGCCTCTTTACAAACGTACAAGTCTTGTCTACGACAACCGGAAGTAGGGTAAGCAAATGCTGCGGCGCAAAGCCAGGGTTGAATGTCTTGCGAAGCCCCCTCCAGGATTCGCCGTTCTCGCTGATCAAAGAATATCTACCAATAAGCTCTCCAAATCCTTGCTGAACAGTTGGAGATTTGGTGACACTATATTGCTGCGTTTTGCTGGCTCTTGAGACCTGCTCGGCCATCTCATGGGATGCAACGAGAACGAGTGGGTATTGCACAGGTCTCGTGTCGAAAAACATGTATTCAGGGCTGCCTTGGGCATTCCATATATTTTCAAACACATAGTCTGCCTGCTGTCAGCGGAGGCCAGTGACTAGGATGTGGATCCTACCCGGGTGAACGGTACTGCTGAATCCGGCTCTCCTGTATTCAGCTGCGATATGACCAAGGTGCCCAAAGAGGAGGTTGGATGACAGCTTGCCGGGAATATGCGCATATCGTTTGAAGCGCCATTGGCTTATCTGGAGGTACACAAGCCATGCGACAGCTGGGACAAGCGCTAGTACGGTGTACGAAGGATACGACATGACCTGCTACCGTGCAAGGGTGGCCCAGAGTTACCGCTGACGACTACTGCAGTCGTGTAGGAATAAGTAACGTGGTATAGCAGGCTGGCCTGAGAGTATGCGTGTGGTCGTGCGGCTTACGGTGAGTAGAGTCGGGCGTTCGTGCTCGGGCCATCGGGCTTATGATGAGAAATCGATGATGTAGGCCCCGACATACGGACGAAATCACCAGCGGACAGGCCATTCCGGAAGTTACGCGCAGTATATGAAGTAGCTGGTAACGCCGTTGTTTGCAGTACACAGGAACCTCCGAACCCCACTATGACGGTCGTCTTCGAAGCCGTACCTGCGCCATCTCAGGCGCGTCTCGATGCCTCGCTGAACGACGCGCCCCTGGACACAGAGAAGCTCGTGTCGCAACAATCGACGGCAACGCAAGAGAAGGCCGAGAAGGCCAAGACGGTGCTGTACCTGGCATATGGCTCGAACCTGTGCAACGAAACCTTCCGAGGCGTGCGCGGCATCCGTCCGCTTTCACAAGTCAATGTCCTTGTTCCCTCGCTGAGGTTGACCTTCGACCTGCCCGGTATCCCATACAAAGAGCCCTGTTTTGCCAATACAGCGCTGCGGGAGCCGGACGCGCAGGACTACCACAAGGACCGATGGCACAAGGGCTTGGTGGGCGTCGTGTATGAGGTGACGCTCTCTGATTACGCGCACATCATCGCCACAGAGGGCGGGGGGAGTGCCTACAACGATATCCTAGTTGACTGCCATGTGCTGCCACCCTCGGACACGGTCCCCTCTACACCCGATTCGAAGCCGTTCAAGGCCCACACACTCTTCGCGCCCATTATAGACCGAGAAACCAAGCAACGAACCACTGACCGTGTAACGCGACCCGACCCTAGCTATGCGCAGCCTTCGGCACGATACCTCAAGCTCATAACCGATGGCGCCGCCGAATGCAAACTTCCCGACGAGTATCAAGAATACCTAAACAATATACGCACATACACAATCACAACCAAGAAGCAGGAAATGGGAAAGGCTATTTTCCTGGCCATCTGGATGCCCTTCGTCATGTTTATCTTCACAATGGGGAGGAAGCTGCAAGATAAGAAGGGGCGGTCACCTTGGTGGCTGGCAAAGCTCAGTGCCATGATCTTTGCGGGTATGTGGACCAGTTACGACGGTGTTTTCAAAGGAACGTTTGGCGATGGGGAGAGGACAATAGGTGATTGTACGTTGCCGACAATCAATGCCAGGAGTAGAACAACCTCTTCAACGAGAGAAGATGCGGAAAAGGAAGGCTTGTTGGAAGAGTTCGGGAAGACTATATACGAGCCGCGATCAACAAAAGCCTGAACACTAATAAAATCCTACCGCCTATGTGGGCATCTGTATATGTTCAACGATGAAATCGAGCGATAAGCATTGTCGTGTGAAATTGGCGCGCTTACAAACCGTGTTCGACAGGAGCAAACACATTTTGCAAGCCCAATCTGGGATCCACCCTTTAGTTGGAGCATCTCCATCATCCCAGCAAGGCCGGCGAACACCGACAGTCGCCGCCAGACTCCGATAGAAAACTAGTCCTAAACAGCCCGTCTTTCGAAAAAGCCAAAAACTTATATCCAATCTCTTCATCTGACAATTCCAACGTACGGGACTTCTTACTTCTTCATATATCAAACACCATGTGCAAATCTCCCACTCACACGTTCTTGGCGGACCTCCCAAAATGCGAACATCACCTCCATCTAGAAGGCTGCCTCAGTCCAAGCCTTCTATTCACTCTAGCGTCTAAGAACAACATCACCTTGCCATCGCCATCCGAGGATGTCTCTTACACGTCTCCTGCAACACTCACCGAACGCTATTCACATTTCACGAACCTCGATGATTTCCTGGCGTACTACTATCGTGGCATCGCAGTCGTAGTGCACCAAGAGGATTTTGAGATGCTTGCGTGGGAGTATTTCACCACTGCAGCCAAGGATGGAGTTCGTCATGCGGAGGTTTTCTTCGACCCGCAGAGTCACACGGAAAGAGGAATTGATTTTGATGTTGTGGTACGTGGCTTCAATGCCGCAAGAGTACGGGCGGAAAAAGAGCTGGGAATAACGAGTCGCTTGATTATGTGTTTTTTGAGGCATCTGCCTGCTAGTTCCGCGGCGGAGACCATGGCATTGGCCGTCAAGGGCGGGCACTTTGATGTCAAGAGCGACAGCCAGGAGCGCGCTATTACTGGACTTGGGCTGGACTCGTCAGAGGTTGGATTTCGCCCAGAACTCTTTGTAGACATGTATCGCGAGGGCGAAAAGAGAGGTCTACGGAGGACAGCTCATGCGGGTGAAGAGGGTGACCCAACTTACATTAGCGGAGCACTTGATGCGTTACAAGCCGAACGCATCGACCACGGCATCCGTCTCACAGAAGATCCCGAACTGCTTAGCCGAGTGGTAAAAGAGGAGGTACTGCTGACTGTTTGCCCTTTGAGCAATGTCTGCCTCCAGGCTGTGGAAAAGGTCAGCCAAGTGCCAATCAAGACATTCCTCGATGCAGGTGTAAAATTCAGTATCAACAGTGACGACCCAGCGTACTTTGGTGGATACATATTAAACAATTATTGCGCGGTGCAAGAGGCCTTCGATTTAAGCATGGAGGAATGGAGGACAATCGTTAGCAATTCGATTCACGGCAGCTGGATAGGAGAGAAGCGAAAGTCTGAACTGTTGGGCCTGCTCGAAGCTTGCATGAACAAGCATGCTTAGATTCGTCTTGAACTACGAAGCTTTTCGTTGGAGAAAGGCCTGGCCATCGGGCTATGACGAAGGCCTTTCTTTGAATTGTACTTGATACCAAAAAGTATCCTGAAGCTACTTGCTGTAACTCTATCAAGATACTTACGGAAGAAGACAGTATATACTATCAAGGGTTGACATGTTGCATATATGTGACACTTCAAGTCACAGAACAGACTCTTTTACACATCCGGCACAAGTTGGAAAGAACAAGCATCTTCGTAGTCAGAGGAGTGGCCGACGAAGAGCCTTGTAGTTGAGGGCCGAAGTAGAACTCAACGTTTCTGAGATGCTCATTTTAGAGGGTGCCCAGGATCCACGGCCATGTCATGTACCAGTACCGCTCAATAGCATGGGTCTAGATCTGGTCAGCACCATCCCAGGCTAGCAGTAATGTATCTTCGTACACATTCGTAGATGGCTCAAATAAACGAATCTCTCTGAAGTGCCCTTTAAATTCTGGTCGTTGCTCGTGGGTATCATATTCTTCCATAACTCTTGAAGATCTAGTCCGAGTCGTCGCTCACGTCCATCTCCATCTCCGCGTCCGAATTCTCTTCCTCTTCTTCTTCCTCCTCCTCGCGCCCTCTCTTCTGGCCCTTGGCTGCGTCTTGCGCATTCACAGGTACTGCTTTCTCGGGTGCAGCACCGAAACCTGCGGGCTGCGCACGTGCTTGTTCAGGCTCGTCTTCACGCTCAGGCTCGGGCATCTTGTAGGTACCGTCCAGCTTGGCTACGGTGTCGGATTTGGTCTTTGCATACGCAATTTGCTGCGAATGTCAGCATGTCCCACATGGATTCATTGGCTGGAAACAGGCGTACCATGTCCTTTCCAAAGAAAGTGAAGCCTTGCAGAGCGCGCATGGCCTGGGTTGAGGAATCAACGTCGCGGAACACAACATGCGCCTGGCCTCGCATCTTCATTGTTTTGAGCGCAACAATATCGAGGATGACGCCATAGGTAGCAAACAGCATGTACAGGTTTCGCTTGAGGTCTTCTTTTTGTAGCTTGTCGGGGAGGTTGCGCACGTATAAGCTGTTGGACGTCAGCACATGTTCTTGGGCGTTGGAGAGACTGACTTACGTCCTATTTGGGATGCCCTCTTTGGAAACGGCGACGGTGCCTGGTGGTCCTCGCGTAGAAGTAGCCATACTGTATGTGATGTGCGACAGCGTAGGCGTCGGTGGTGAAGAGCTCCCCGCTGAAAAGCGCGGCCAAGCCAAAATGTTTGGGGACGTGCATGGCGGCCGCCGCGGTCTCTCCAACGCGACCGCTCACCCACCAGCCAAGTACGCGCTCACTACCTTCACCATCTGAAAGAGGAGGATTGCGGCATGGAGATTGTGTCGCATACTTTACGAGAGCTGTGGAGCAACCGCTAACGCCAATACTCTGCCATCTTCCCAAGGCCGTCCGTCCTAACACGACTTCACCATGGCATCACCAGCTGTCCTGAGCCCACGGCCGAACCCGCCTGGCGCGCCATTCCAAGATGCGACCAAGGCCAGAACTCTCGCGCTCCCAAGCCATACGACCAAGCCCACAAGGTCACCGGCTATACCACCGGCGGCCCCTTTGGCACGAGACGGCGGCATGGATCTCGCTGAGCAAATGAACGAGCGCGTCCGCAGCCAGTTCGTCATGGGCAAGAAGCTAGGAGAGGGTACATATGCCGTTGTCTTCCAGGCTCACTATGTCAATAATCCCAAGAAGCTCGTCGCCATCAAAAAGATCAAGCTCAACGCCGAGTACCCCAACGGAATCGCCCCCGATGCTCTTCGCGAAATGCAGTTCCTCTTCGAGATTGACCATCCCAACGTCATCAAACTACACGACGTCTTCTCAAGCAAGGACCAGAACTTGTCCTTTGTACTCGAACATCTACCTCTGGGAGACTTGGAGCAGCTATGGAAGAACAAGGAGATTACATATACAAAGGCGGATATTAAATCTTGGATGAACATGCTGTGTCAGGGAATCTGGTTCTGCCACGAGAACTTTGTCCTACATCGCGATATCAAGGGTAGCAACGCCCTGATTGCCGCCGACGGGACGGTCAAGCTTGCTGATTTTGGTCTTGCACGGAGTTTTGCTGACCCAGGAACCAAAATGACTACCATGGTCATCACACGCATGTATCGTCCGTTAGAGCTGCTGTACGGTTGTTCGCATTACGGTGGCACGGCCGACATGTGGAGTATCGGCGTCCTGATGGCAGAACTGTGTATTCGCAACTGGTTCCTCTATTCCGACACAGATATTCAGCAAGTCGCCGTCATCTGCGAGAAGTTTGGAACGCCCACCGAGGAGACATGGCCAGGTGTTTCGTCTCTCCCGTACTACGTTGCGCCTGACAAACAAACTGGCCCACAAGGTTCCACAGCCTTCCGCCAGACACGCCCTCGCGCTTGGTGGAAACAGCAATTCTCCACCCTGGGAGACGATGGATGCGATTTCATCAGAAGCTTATTAACCTTGGACCCGATGAAAAGGTACACTGCCCGGAAAGCGCTAGAGGACAAATGGTGGACCAATGCACCCCGACCCACAAAGAAGGAGAACTTGCCAAAAGAAGGCGGCGGGGCAAAGGCCATGGGCGAAGATTTGAAGCGGAGGGGAGGAGAGACGCCTACCAATGGTCGTGCGGACAAGGTAGCAAGAAAGCTTGACTTCGGCTCCATGGGGTAGATGCCCATTCCGACATCACCCGACAGCGGTTCGGTCTAGTGGATCCCTTCGATCTGGCATAGGCGTTTGGGCGTTTGGAGCTCGGTTCAAGAGCACCTGCATACGGGTAAGGCTTGCCGTTTCGTCTAGGCTAGCCATGCTGCATTTCCTGGAGTCTGGGGCCTATAGATAGCTTCTTTGTTCGGCATATCAACCGCCGAAGTTCAATGCACACACACAACGCTGCATGTTTCCACCACATGTAAACTTCAAATGATCGGATACTTCTCTGCGGTTCCACGAACATATGACTCAGGCCAAAATTGTGCATCGGTGGTGTCTTTGCTACGTACTAGTTACAAGATGCATGTGGTTACTCACATACCATCTCGATCATATCCAATCGTAGTATATTTACTCTTGCACACATCTAAGATAGTAGACACTCCGAGCGGCTATAAATATAGCATGAGGCCATGGACATTACCAATCTATCATTGGGATAAGTAGACGACGACAATATCTTCCATGTTGTAAACGCACTAAAAGATAAGCACTCGGTGACAACATCACAGCTACACACTATAGTCAGAAATTGAAAGCCTTGCATCTATATCAGCTTTACCACTACTGAGCATAACCCCAGAGAAAAAGGAACTACTTGCAGAGCACACAGCACATTTCAAAGCAGCAGGTGAACATATGTGAAGTTGAAATGGCACTCCAGCGCCGTGATTCGTTCGTTACTATCTAATCATTTCCATTCTTGGATTTCATAATTCTCATTAAACAACGCCAATCCTACATGTGATATGCTCACTTGACGAGCTTGCAGACCAGGTCGCCAGAGTCGACCGAGTCACCTTCACGTACAGAGAGGCCACTGACCTTTCCGGAGTGTGGTGCGGAGATGACCATCTCCATCTTCATGGCGCTGAGAATAGCAACAGGGTCACCCTTCTTGACTTCGCTACCGTCGTGGACACGAACCTCGACCAAGACACCAGACATGGGTGATCCGACCTGGCTGCTGTCTGTGGGGTCGGCCTTGGGACGTGACACGTTCTCAATAGCGGCGTGCTGGTCCTCGACAGTCACAGTACGGGTTTCACCGTTCATCTCGTAGAAGACCTCACGCAGACCAGTTTGCTCGGAAAGAGGACCAATAGCGAGGAGCTTGAGGATAAGAACCTTACCCTTCTCAAGCTCGACGTGGAACTCCTCGCCGATCTCAGGGCGCGACAAGAAGTAACGAGTAGGAAGAACGGAGAGATCTCCGTACTTGGTGGTCCACTTCTTGTAGTCCTCGAAGACCTTGGGGTACATGATGTACGATGCTACGTCACACTCAGTAGCATCACCCCACTTGGCTTTGAGCTCTGCCTTGATCTTAGGGATGTCGACAGGCTCAAGGTAGAGGCCAGGGCGCTTGTCCATCTTCCTTCGCTCACGGAGAGCCTGAGATCGGAGCGGCTCAGGGAATCCACCGTATGGCTGACCCATGAGTCCCTCGAAGAACTCCAAGACGGAGGACGGGAAGTCGAGTTGTTCGGCCTTGGCTAGGACGTCATCGTAGGAAAGCTTGTTGGAGACCATAAACTGGGCCAAGTCACCGACAACCTTGGAGGTAGGGGTAACCTTGACGATGTCACCGAGCAAGTCGTTGGCCTGCTCGTATGCCTTCTTGGTCTGAGCCCATTGTTCACCGAGACCCTGTTGCGATGCTTGGAAGATAAGGTTGGTAAGCTGGCCTCCAGGAATCTCGTGCTCGTATACTTCAGGGTCAGGTCCGGTAAGACCAGCCTCGAAGGGTGAGTAGAGGAGACGAAGCTGGGCCCAGTATGCGTCCAAGTTACGGATCATGTGCGCGTCCAGGCCAGCATCAAAGTCGGTACCCTCCAGGGAGGAGAGGATGGCGCCCAAACTGGGCTGGGATGTCATACCGGACATGCTGTCGATGGCGGCATCAACAGCGTCCGCACCAGCCTCAGCGCAAGCAACCATGGATGCAACACCGGTTCCGGCAGAGTCATGAGTATGTACGTGGATGGGCAGGTTGGGGTACTTCTCGCGAATGGTGCCGATCAGGAGACGAGCAGCACGGGGCTTGAGTACACCAGCCACTAAAGGGGAAGTCAGCACATGTTTTGCACGTATATCGCGTATTGAAAAACTCACTGTCTTTGATACCCAGGATGTGAGCACCCATCTTGACAATCTTGTCGACAACATCCAGGTAGTATTCCAGGTTGTACTTCTTCTTGGGGTTAAGCATGTCACCACTGGAAAATTGAGTTAGTATGTTTCGTATGCGCAATCCCTATGTGTGAGACTTACCTGTAGCACACTGTTCCCTCGGCAACACCGCCAGCCTTGAGGACAGCCTTGACACCAACCTCAAGTTGTTCAACGTCGTTCAACGCGTCGAAGACACGGAAGATATCGACACCGTTCTTCTTGGCTTGCTCACAGAAGTGGAAGATGGCGTTGTCGGGTAGCGAGGAGTATGCGACTCCGTTAGCGCCACGAAGAAGCATCTGGAAGGGAATGTTGGGTACGAGCTTGCGCATCTTCCTAAGACGATCCCAGGGGTCTTCGTAGAGGAAGCGCATGGCAACGTCGAAGGTCGCACCACCCCAACACTCAAGAGCCCAAGCGTTGGAGAAAGCGTGGCTGGTCTCCTTGGCGATGTTGAGCAAGTCAACAGTTCGGACACGAGTTGCGAGTAGTGACTGATGGGCATCACGCCATGTGGTGTCCATGATCAAGCATCCCTTGTTGGCACGAACAGCCTTTGCGAATCCCTCAGGACCGTCCTTGAGAATGACATTCCTCCAACCTTCGGTGCAAGGAGCGGATGTGTCGACCTTCTTGCCGCTGTTGTCGTGAATGGCCGGGATGGGGATAATGCCCTTGAACTTGGGCTCGCCGATCTGGCCCTTGATCTGGCTACCATTGACTGCGAGGTCACCAAGGTATGCGAGGAGCTTCTGAGCACGGTTCTGGGAGCCGATCAAGTCGAAGAGAGCGGGTGTGTCATCGATGAAGGTTGTCCAGCATTGTCCGTCAACGAAGGTGGGGTGAGTGAGGAGCTTGATCAAGAAGGGGATGTTGGTCTTGACGCCACGGATACGGAACTCTACTAGAGCACGTAGCATCTTTCGGCGGACGATCTCGTATGTGGAGCCACGGCAAGAGCACTTGACCAACATGGAGTCGTAGTGAGCTACAAACAAAGACAGTTAGCAAGGGTATATGGCTGAAAGGTGGGTAGTAATTACGTGTGATGATTGCTCCAGCAAAACCGTTACCACCATCGAGACGAACTCCATTACCACCAGCAGAGCGGTAGACCTCGATCTTTCCAGTATCGGGTGCGAAGCTCTGAGCGGGGTCTTCTGTGGTGATTCGGCATTGGAAGGCAAAGCCTCGTGTTGAGATGTGGTCTTGAGTCAGGCCAAGCTGCTCGAGAGATGCACCAGCTGCAATCTGGATTTGTGCGGCGACAATGTCGATACCGGTGACTTCCTCGGTAATGGTGTGCTCGACCTGGATACGAGGGTTGATCTGCGGAATATTTAGTAAACATATTCTGTACACATTGGTATAGAATACTAACCTCGATAAAGTAGTAGCGATTCTGCTGGTCGACCAGGAACTCAGCAGTTCCGGCGTTCCTGTACTTGACACTCTGTGCGAGCCTGACAGCGTCGGCAAGAATAGCATCACGGGTCTCAACGGGAAGATCTTTTGCGGGAGCAATCTCGACGACCTTTTGGTGACGACGCTGGACACTGCAGTCACGCTCGTAGAGATGGACGACGTTGCCTTGGTTGTCACCGAGAAGCTGGACTTCAATGTGCTTGGGCTTGTCGAGGAAGCGCTCGACGAAGACGGTTCCGTTACCGAAAGCCGACTTGGCCTCTGAAGTTGCGCGCTCGAACGAGTCCTTGAGGGTCTCTTGTTCGCGTACTACACGCATACCACGGCCACCACCACCGAAAGCGGCCTTGATGATGATGGGAAATCCATACTCGTCAGTGAAGGCCTTGACATCCTCGAACTTTTCAACGGGTCCAGGGGTTCCTGGCACAACGGGGACGTTGCACTTGACAGCGAGTTTTCGCGCCGAGACCTTGTCACCGAGAGCGTCGATAGTGTCGGGAGAGGGGCCTACGAACTAGGATGAAAAAGTAAGCATGAATCGTATGTTGCATGGGTAAAACAAAAGCCATGCTCGCTGCGATGATCGGCGCCGGGCTGCTTGTTGATCGGCCCCGCCAATGCCTTGTCTTGTGCGGGAGCGATAGGCTCAACAGCGGCCGATAGCAGCTGCGACCCCTCCACGCAGTTTCGTCATAGCGTAAACAAAGCGGTAAAACTCACAATGAGCCCAGCCTTCTCAACGTTTCGTGCGAACTCTGCGTTTTCCGATAAGAAACCGTAACCGGGGTGAATCATGTTCACATTGTGTTCGACCGCGATCTTGATGATCTCGTCACCCGCCAGGTAAGCACCGACAGGTGTGTATTGGCCGCGGGCACCAATCTCGTAGGCCTCGTCAGCCTTTTGCCTGTGCATACTGAGGCGGTCCTCATGACTGTAGACGGCCACAGTGTGCAGCGACAGCTCGTGGGCTGTTCGGAAAATACGGATGGGGATTTCTCCTCGGTTGGCGACTGGGAGAGCTGTTAGAGCGCCCAAGACGCGACACATGAGCCATTGAGCTCCGTCGACTTACCGAGGAGCTTCTTCAGCTGCATGATAGAGCTGCTTGCACGCAGCTTGTGGTGGACCGAGTTCCTGTGGGGGTGGTGTTCGCCATGGTCCTCGTCGTAGTCATTCTCGTCAATGGCCGACGAGGCATTCTGGTCAACTGCAAGTGTCGTCATATCGAATGACGGCTATGTGTGTTGGGTAAGGGAAAGTGAAGAGAAGGAGAGGAGGAGAGGGGGAAGACTGGAGCCGCAGAAGAAGGCAGATACAGCGCCAATTTATTATGGTACCGACAATCGGATACC